ATATTGTAATTGTGGTAGCTGTGATACTAAAATATCACAAATTCCAAGCAGGATACAGGTACCAAAAAATCCAGAGCTCATATTAACTACTTCAGGATATTTTGAATTTGTGTCAACTTCTGTTCAGATTTGTCACCCAAAGAGTGGAGAAGGGAAAAAACCCAAACCAAACAAAAAAAAAAAAAAAAACCACACCCACAAAACAAAACAAAACAAAAAACCAAACACAAACCAATAAACTAACAGCCTTGGAATACAACAATTCTTGGAAACATATTTTCACTTTTTTTGTAATTAAACAACACCTCTCAACCTCATACTCTACCTTAAATTCTTTTTCAAGTCAGTGATTTAAGTGTCTACCTCAGTTTCTTAGAAAGCATCTGGAAACTAACTTTAAAGGAGTAAAGTGACTCGTAAAGTACAAGATAATCTAGGTCCTTTTTTCTTCCCCACCGCAAAAAAAAATTCTCTTTTCATCTTTTCGAATCACTTTGAAACTCCCCTGGCATGAGCTATGCTGAGGAACAACTGTGAGATGCCCGTTCAAAGCAAATTATCCCTCTCTGCAAAAATCTACTCCTGTGGGTTGCTACCATCAAGATCTGACAATCTTCAAAAGATATCAGTTTTCCTGGAGAAGAAAATATCAGGTAGACTAAAGACACTGGATTGTACATGCTTACCCTGCTTGCTGAGTCAATGCTTGCTTCCCCATCAATAGCTTTTGCTCAATGCATTTTAAGACACCAAATACAACAAATGTCTGTGCACCCAACTTAGGAGTTTCCCATTCAGTCCCTATACAGTCCAAGTTAAATGGTGCACCCCAGAATTCAAAGACCAATAAGCAGAAGGAAGTCTGAAGCTTGACCTTCCACAAAAGAGGGACTTCCAAGTTACATTTCTACCTCCCCAACAGGTTAACGTAAATACCATGCAATAAGGCTACTTCTCTGGCCTAAGGCTGCTGAAATGCAGCAGATCCTACCTACCCCAGCATATCCTACCTGGCAACGAAGCCCCTTGAGAGGAACCATGAATGAAGTACTTACACGTCTTAGGATAATGAAACATGGATAAACAGAAGTCTGCTAAATATACATTCATTTCAGTTGTTCCTGCATGGCTCAAGTATTTTAGGAGGGAAAAATTATGACTGGCTCGGTTTAGATACCACTTAAGGAGCTTAGATTCCTAACTTAGATGCATGTATAGCCAGCAAGGCTTTAAAAGAACACAGGCTGGGGTTCAAGTTAGCCTGCCTCTCTAAACCCGACTCCTTAAACAGTGTAAGTTAGGCAATGCCAATACTACCCTTCCTCTTCTAGACAGAGTAATAAACAACTTCAACAGGAGGGCCATTAAAATAAACCAAAAGCACAAGAAACTACTTTCTATTCTACTAGTAACACATTACATACCAAAAATCAAGACAACAGAAAAGTCAACTGATTACATGTAGGTAGAAAGACAAGCTGTAAGTCAGTTTATTTAGAGTACTTCTCCATTGCTCAAACTGAAACTGGGAAACCGTGTTTCATACAGCTTTTGGCAATGTTGTTTAAATAAATAAGCCACAAAGGGCATACAAAATTCTTATATTTAGGAAAACACACACATTCTTAAAATGTTTCATAAAGCTAACAATGATGTACAATAGTGGATAGAATTACAGTAACAAAACACAAGCCAACACCACCAAGGTTCTTCACAGTTATAACTCCATAAATACTAAGCTTTGTAAAGTATAACTGCCCCTAAAGTAGTTACGCTGAAATCCTGTGTCTATATACATCTATCTCTCTCCATTAGAGAGCCCTTCATTAGAATCATAGTGTGCTTGTGAAATTTTGTTTGGCTTTGAGTTCTGAACCAAGTCCATTAAGAGAACCATTTTATTATCTATATGTGCCTGAAGAGCCTGGATTTGGTGATCAATATAGTCCATTAGTTTTTTCTCCATCATATCCATATTTTTTGAGACGATCTTCTCCAAATAGGAGCAAATAGGCTGTTCTACTCTGTGAAAAGAGCAAATATAAGAATAAGTATAACCTATTTTTTAATGACAAGGGACATGATAGATATCAGGGCACCTGAACTCCTTTTAAATGTAAAATCCCATTTATTAGAAAATAAACTTTGGAAGGTATTAGGTTTTTATCACAAGTAAAATACCTTGCCTGCCTGCCACATTTCAAATCTCAGAAATTTTTTATAAACATGCTACAGTATATAGTCATCTTCTTTCAACCAGAATTTTTTCAAAGGCTCAATTATGCATTAGACATTTATGTATAACAAAAATCCACAACTCAAATGTATACACAGAGTTCAACTTCTTTGAAGTATGGCAGAAAGATCGTGGCACATAGTGCGAAAAAAGGAAAAGAGAAGAATTTAGGAGGTTGAAATAGCCAAAATGAAAAAGACAAACTAAATGTATAGGAAATTATAGAAAGACCATACTTTTTTTTTAAATCAATAAAGGTGAAATGGTGGCAAGACACAAACAGTTTAGTAACAACAAATGATGTTGCGATTTCTGCTGAAAAAAATCTATATTCAAGCAGCTCATCTGAAAAAATAATCATAACCATGTTCATTGCCACACAGCCTTCAAAACCACGTATTTTAAGATTCACTATTGCTGTTAATGAGAATAAAATGCTTACATTATGTGTTTTGTTTATTTTTTAAACTTGTCAATAAATACAGTCAAACTACTGCTTTAATAAGCGTACCAAACTTAACTTACCCAACACACTGGATGCCTTCCTCTTTAGTCACTGCTTTTTTACCAAAGTGCCTATCACCATCTTTTAGACGAAGATGATTTACCTGACTACATAAGTTTTGAAGAAAAGGAAGAAGCACCTGTGGATTAGCTACATTTGGGGTTTCGCCTGCTTGCTCCTGTGGATGCAAAGATCCCATGACTTTAAAATAACTTCTGAGGTCAACTGTATTTTGCTGGGTAGTAAGTCTTTCAGAATCCAAAGCAGTCCCACTTCCAGGTACCTCTGTGTTCACATCACAACTTATTCTTAAGTCTTCATATACTGTTTCACTTAAATCATTTTTAACAGGCAAAGGTTCACTGGCTGATTGATCTAGCGATGTCTGATTAGCTGCACTGCACAATCCATCAATTGCACGGTCACCTCCAAAGTCTGAATTTTTCCCAAAGATCCAATTAAGTTTGTCTACAAGAGGTAAACTGTTCTGATGGGAAGAAAAACAATACAATTAATATTTAAGTACTGAAATATATAGGAAATTATACAATAGTAACAATAGATACTTCATTACTTGGCATTCTGCTAATGTGACGTAAAGATTTTAAAGGTAATTCCAAATTATACTCTTAGGGAAAAACATAGGAAAATATTTACCCTGTACATATGTGTTAATTACCTTGTCAGTCTCTAAGTAACAGAACAGTTTTAGTGACTTCATTTTTAGCATGCTATGTCCCCAAGACTGAACATAATTATTAACATCAGATGAATTCAGCATTCTGCTGGAACAGCCCACTTCACAGGATTACGATCTAAATCAAATAAATGCTGTGTAAGAGCATGTTCCCTTTAGCTGAAGATGACATGATTTTAATAACCATAAAGGAGACAAACCAGCCCATTTAGCAATGCCGCAAACATTACAGGGAACATGCCCACCATCCTTGACAAGCAGTAACAGTGGAAATGAACAAAAGAAGAATAGGGTAGCAGTGAAGTTTAAAATCATGATGATACAGAATCTTAACTCTGGACTTGGTGTATGCACAGTGATTCCTTGAGTACACAATCTTTATTCACTGCACTCCTTATTTAAGGGTGACAATAGCTAAGCCAGGACTAAAATGGCAGAAAGTTTGGGTAAAAAAAAAAAAAAAAAATCAAAATTCTTTTTCACCAAATCAGTTTAGAACATGCTTAACTGTTACTGAAGGTAAGGTCACAGATCAGTACTATTTATGTTTACGGAAAATCACAGTGACTTACCTTCTGCTGACATCGGACCATGTCCATGAGCTGTTGAGCACCTGGAGACAACTTAGATCCCATAGATTCCATGATAATTTGCACTCTGTCTAGATCTATGCTTGAGCCTAGTGAGGGAAAATCAGTTGCTAGTTTTGCAGACACTGTTGTCACTTGTACAATTATTTTACTGATGAGTATTCTTTGTTTCTCACCAATGGAGAGCAGCTATTGCAAAAAGGAAAAAAAATATTTTGGTTAGGAAAAAATTAGTTTCAGGTTTTCTTTGGACGTATGGGACAATGCATTATTCTTTGAGCCTTGGGAAAAACAGTGCTGAATTATTTTCCAGGGAAATTAAGCTGATTTCTCCTTGCTATTACTCTTTGGAAAATTCTGACAGGAACAGAGATGCCTGTACTACCCAAAGACAAATCAGGCCTCAATCTTCTAAGCACTTAAGAACAGTGGCCATACATATTTTTCATAAGCTTATTTAACCGCATCAGAGTTAACAGTTCTAATTACATAGCAATTGTTGATTATCTACAGTTTATCTGGCTTATGAAGTTTTTTTCCTCTAAGACTATATTATCTCTCTTATATAAGTATTTCTTCATAAAAAGAAAACGGTGATACAAATTTAAAAGAACTCTGCTATCAAGACAAAGTACCATCTAACAGATTTTTAAGCAATTATATGAAGTCATGAAGTGTATAAAAGCAGTAACTTGACTAAGAGCAATGCAGTTTAGTCAATTAAGTGATTAAAAAAACAACGGAAAATAAAACATTTCTGTTCAATTCCCTACCTTAATTCTACAGGAGGCTGCAGGGCATTCGAACTTAAGGTATTTTTTGTATAAAGTAACCTTTTCGGTTTCACTAGAAAATACAAAATAAACGAGCTGTGACATCACTATATAAAGTACTTTTTTCTTTAGTAGAAATACTCTATATTGGTAAATATTTAGGTAAGAAACAAGACTGACTGGAACATATTTCTAATGTGGTATAGCAGTTTTAATGCTTATATGCAACTTGTATTGAATCTTATCAGATACATATATAAAGGATTCGTATGCGTACATACATTATCTACCAGAGAAGCTTTTGAGGTTCAGTACACATCTTCCCTGACACTCGGAGTCGGCTGTTTTTATTTAGCTAATTAAGCAGCAGATGTGCCATTTAATGACTTAAAAGCAAAACAGAAGACATTGCTTTAATTGCCCTGGCAAAGCATGGAAGTAAGTACTGAAGTGGAAAACAAATCCTTTTTTTTTATTTTCTCTCTTATTTTCAAGAGTGTCAGATGACTACGTATTAAAGAGACAAGAGATCTTTTGGCAAAGATCAGCTAAAAAGATCTACTGAAAAGACGAGCAGAACCCTTGTGCAGACAGGTTAAACGACACAGAAAAGTTGCACCTGCCCCAACTCCTTCTGTAGTCCTACACAACAGAATTTCAGCGTAGCACTTTATAACTTACTGAATTAAATGGTTCACTAATTATAAAAGAACAAAAAGGTAACTAGCATAACTGCAGCCTTGTATCTTTACCAAGGAGGCAGCGTTTGTGCAAGCCACCAGTAACTGTGAGGAGCACACCAGGGTTATCCCAGGCGACTGCAGCGCCTATGCCCATTCACCAGTTTTGCACAGACCTTCAAGAAAGACCAAACTGGGTGGCTTTCGTGGTGCAGACATCAGGCCTTTACCAGCAGGAGCACCTTGCAGGTACACAGAGAGAGAACGACGCTGCCAGTAAGAGAAGGGCCAGACGCGTTAGGGACCCATGAGCAAGCC